GAGCCAACGGCTCGGATTCGCCGGAGGGAGCTCGACGGCGGCGGATTGCGGCGGCGGCAACCGGCGGAGAGAAAAGGGGAAAACGGCGACGAGGTCACGAGGGGCCGATTCCCGGCGGCGAGAGCATCTACGCGGCTACGGGAATCCGTCCCTTGCGCCGGATTAGGAGGAAACGCATCGAGGGAGGCCGGCGACGAGAGGCGCTTCCGAGCTCGGGCGGCGACGGCGGCGAGCACACGGCGAGCGGCGGCAACGGTCGGGGCGGCGCCGGCTAGCTACGGGGAGGCTACTCGTGCTACTACCCGAGTCTAAGGGGAGGAGGTGGAACGAGGAGGAAGAACGGAGGGAGGCACTACCGTGCGGGCGGGCGCAGTGACGAGAGCCGACGGCGCGAAACGTGATCGTTTCGGCCTCGGGCCGAGGAAGAGGAGGGGGAGGGCGCGCCCGGAGTCCCCTTCCGCGTCCTTGCTCGTGCCGGCTCCTCCGACACACGCAACGACTAACGGCGACGGCGAATAGAGCACGGGAGGCGGCGACAATGGCGTGGCGGCGAGAGACGAAAACGAGGGAGATTGGAGGAGGGAGGTGCTTGGGTTTATAGGGGCGACAATGTCGGTTTAGGAGAGGGGAACCGACATTGGACGGTCAAGCCGGCGAGCTAGCGCCCGGCTAGCGGCCAAAACGACGACAGGAGGTGACGCCGGCGAGAGGAGGAAAAAGAAGAAAGGAAGAGGGAAAGGGGGCTTGCCTCCTTGCCGCTTTGGGAAAAGGAGGAGGGAGCGGGGGGCTGACGCGGCAGAGGGAGGAGGAGCTCTGCCTCCTCTCCTTGGAAGCTAGCGCGTGGAGGGGCGGGGCCGAGTCGATGACAACGGCGATGACGGTGGGGCGGTTTGGAGCGGGGCGACGACATGGGCGGCAGGCACGGGCAGGCGCGGCAGAGGCTGACGGCGGCGGCGACCAGGCGGTCGGCCACCACCGCACGCGCGCGCGGAAAGCAACGGGCGGCGCGGCGGTTTGAGCGGCACGGCTCGGGCACGCGTGCTGACTCGCGGGGCCGAGCGGCTGCGCGGCTACAGGCGCGGCAGGGCAGCGGGGCCGGGCGGCGCAGACGGCGCAGGCGCGGCACGGGCGGCGACCACGCGGGCGCGCGCACGCGAGCAACGGCACGCGGGGGCCGATTTTGGGGCAGGGAGCTCGCTAGGGATGGAGGCGGGGAGAGGGAGAGCGAGGGGGGAGGGCGCTCGGCGCGGCTTACGCGCACGCGCGCGCGGCGCGCGGGCAGAGCGAGGGAGAGAGGGAGAGAGAGAGAGAGAGAGAGAGAGCCGGGGAGGGAGGGGAAGATGGGCCGAGAGAGATTCGGCCCATCGAACCCGAGGGAGGAAAAATAGACTTTTGCGGAGGAATTGATTTGGGAAGGATTTGGATTCGGGATTGAACTCGACGATAGATCGGGGATTTGAGATCTGAGAAGGCACTGACACTAGACAACAAGCAAAGAAACAGATTTCGCAAATAGGATTTTTAAGAGATAATTTTTCCCGATAGGCGCCACGACGGAACGTGCGCTACACTTAGCTCAACTAGTATACAATGGGGGAAATCACATTAATGCATAGACTTCAGGTTCTAGTGTTGTTGTTGGTTCAATGCCACCGCTCTGGTGATGATTAATTAAAATATATTAAATGGTGGGCTGTGGGTGCATGGTTTGGATGGTCGCGCCCATGGCATTTAAGGACCGGTTCGCGGGAAACCCGTACTTACCACAAGCTAGCGTGGGCAACGGCTGGGCTTGTAGTGTAGCTTTCCTCTAGCTGACGCATCCAGGCAAGGGTGAGCGTGATGGAGTTCGGATGGGCCCTGCGACGGCCTATGCGACTTTTGGATTCACCTAGGCACGAGAGGGGACTGCCCACTGCCTTGCGATGAGTGGGGGTAAAACCTGAGGTGTGGTATGTTTGGTTAGAGGTGGTTATGCGAAGGGTCCTGACACGGCCTCTTTCCGGTATGTCGTGGTGGCATATCGGCACACGGGAACGTGTTGTGGGGCTGTGTCTTGTGGGTACAATTGTACACCTCTGATCAGAGTAAAACTATTCGAATAGCTGTGCCCGCGGTTATGGGCGATCGACCAGATTCACCGTGATTAGTCTCACCCTAGTTTAGTCTAATGGAATTGATTAGTTCAGATGGATGTTTGGGCCTGTTGCAACGTGGTGTAGCATTGGACAGTGGATAGTTAATATTGATTAATTACTATAACCGTTTTACTGCTTTCAACTACTGTTTATAAATGCCAGCTTGATGCAAAGGATCCCCTTTAGCCTTCCTTTGGTTATATTGCATCATACCCTCCGTTCCGGTATGACTTGCTGAGTACAGTGGGAAGTACTCAGTCTTGCTCTATCTCCCAATCCTCAGAGTTCGAGTATGCGTCCGATGGTGGTTTCTCCGAGGAGTAGGCTTCGTCCGTGCCATCAAGGATGCCTGTGGAGTGGTGTTCCCGCTGCAATCCAAGTCAAGACTTAGCTCCAGTTATCTTTTATATTTCCGCTGCATTTATATAAGACTTTTATAATGTTTGTAAGACGTGGATCTGTATGTCAACTTTGTCGTTTGTGTACCCTGGCCGGTCCTGGACATGGATTTTAATGCACATTCTGCTTGGAATTCTATTCGGGAATTTCTGGGCGTGACACCCTTGATGGCTACAAGGTAACATTTACTTGTCGCTGTGCTTTGAGAAGTGCAAGAGCACAACTCCACTATAGGAAGTACAAATGTTGTTTATATATCTTGGTTTTCTCTTTTCTAGTGCATAGTTGTATACAAATTAAGGGCAAAAGAGACATTTTCTAACCGAATTATTGACTATAAATAGCCATATGGCATATTAAGTGGGCCCAAGGATAATTTTAAGCAAAAACAAATTCTTAGAGGACCTATATGGACAAAATGAAACTTGAAGGATTAAATTGAGCTTTCGATGAAACTTAAAGGACTAAATTAGCTATTTACTCTAAACTTATACTTATCAGCTAAAATCTAAATTTTCAACCTTAAATTTAATTCAAGAGCTGATTTTGAGGTTTTATCATCGAAGTTTATTTTTCAGCCTTTACTTTTAGATCGCAAAGAACACGTATATAAAGGTTTTGTTCATAAATTACTTTTCGTTTATAAACATGCCGTTTCGCTTACGCGTGCTCCGTAAATAGGGTACTGTCGGTGACATGGGACCGGGAGTATCATGACTAGAGGCTTGAGGCAGACACAATCGCCCACGTGGCCTGGCACCCTCGGGGGGCGTCGGGCCCGAGGGTGATGTGTTCGCCCTCCTCTTTGTCTCCCCGAGGGGGTCGGACCGCTCCCGCCTCGGCCCCGAGGGCCGAGGCGCCCCGACCCTTTGTGGGTTTTGCGCCGCGTATATGTGGTAGGTGAGCATAGCGGGGCTCACCTAACCACATTTATTGCGGTTTGGACGAGCGCGTCACGCCGCATGTAACGCAGTGCAGCGCGCTCGTTTATCCGGTCAGTGACCAGTCACAGACCGATCAGATCGTGGGTTAGGTGGCGACAGGCGGTCTAACGCACGCCTCGCCCCATCCCGTCAGGATGAGAGCCTCCAAGCACTCGTCCCTAGCCGGAGCCGGCGTGTTAGCTCCTGGAGATGGCACGTTGGTCCCGGTCAGATATATACCAGGCTTCATCCTAACCATTACAAGCAAGACATTGTATGAAGAGGGGCGAACATGCAGATTGATAAACTGACGCGTGGTGGACAAGAATGACCGATTTGTGACCGGTCTGACACTGGTCATGTCGTCAGCAGACAGCCATGTTCCCACGTCGCGCCTGCTTCCGGCGGAAGTGGAGGTAGGTATGGGCCGTCCCATCAGAAGGTCATTCGGACGACAACCATACAAGTCTCCGTCTGTTGATGAAAAGATAGGATAAGTCCCCACAAAAAAGAGAGAGATGGTGCATGTGGTATCCCCTTGAGGTATAAAAGGAGGACATTGCCCACTTAGAAGGGGGATTTTTCGGATCCAGAACGATCAGAGAGGGAGAGAGTAAGAGCTCTCTGGTTCTCCAGCTCTTTTGTAGCTTCTTCATACATAGATCCACCAAAACACAGGAGTAGGGTATGACGCTTCTCAGCGGCCCGAACCTGTATACATCGCCCGTGTCTTGTGTGTTTCCATTCTCGCGAACCTTCCACACACCGAGAGCTTAGAATCTCACCCAGGGCCCCCGGCCGAACCGGCAAAGGGGGGCCTGCGCGGTCTCCCGGTGAGGAGCCTCACGCTCCGTCAGGTACACTAGCCGGTTTTGACAAGTCTTAGCTTAGATCACCGCAATAATCTTTAAGGGATGACTCCCTATGTTAACCGATCCCGCCTCAGATCCGCGCTCGTCACCACCGGCACAACATTCATATCCGGCCGATATGGCGATTTAATATATGCTACTATCTTCCTTCCAAAATATAAGGAATATAAGGAGTTATATTTTGAGATGGAGAAAGTACTAGTGATGATGAGGAAGATACACTAGTGCTTGAAGGCTTAGTTGTTTTGTTCTTTTTCCCAACTCACCTATCTCGTTTTTCACATGCACACTTTTCAAACTAATAAAGGTATGTTTTTTTTTACAAAATTTTATTAATTCATTTTTTTAAAAAAATAACTGTAAATTAATTAATCATGCGCTAACTGGTAGTATGTTTCATTTTGCTAAATTAATTAAAATTCCCAACCCTGCAGGAGCCAAACACAGCCTAAGTAAATAAAGGGATTAAAATTGAAAGCGTATCTAACAGCCACAGCTACTAGTGGCTTGGTGGATTACGAGTCACGTCAGTAGGCGATCCCCGGCGTGTGCGATGCGAGGTTAGCTTAATTAGCTGGTCTGTCCATGTCGTGCCGTCGCGGCGTCGCCTTCTTCGCCTTGGCAACGGCATGCATGCCTCCGATCATCCGTAAACCTCACGGCGGCCACCATACCACACGTGCGTACGTACGTCCACACCACGCCCAACACCGACGACGTCGATCGAGCTCCAATCCATCCACCCCCACCCATGGCCGCGCGCTTCTCTTAGCTGGAGTAATTAAATTAAGTCGATCTCCCCAGCGCGCCCCCATGCACCAATGGCCGCTCCCACGCGCCGCCTCCTCCTCCTCAACCACGAACCCACCACCACCCCCGCTTCGTCTTCTTCGAGTTCGAGGCAATCCTTCCCCACGCTGCTCCCCGTTTTTATCCTCTTCGTCCTCCTCCTCTGCTTCCTCTCCATCTTCCTCGTCCGCGACCTCCTCCACTTCCTCTCCCTCTGCCTCCGCCGCCGCCGCCTCCTCCTTCGCCACGGGGAGGATCATGACTCCTCCTCCGTCTCCATGCAGTCCTCAGCCTCGCCGATTAATGCCCAGGCGCCGCGCAAGCCGCCGGGCTTGGACCCCGCCATCCTCGCGTCCTTCCCCACGCTGCGCTTCAAGGCCTCCGCCGCCGCGCCGGAGTGCGCCGTGTGCCTCTCCGACTTCGCCGCCGGCGACGCCCTCCGCCTGCTCACCGTCTGCCGCCACGCCTTCCACACGCCCTGCATTGACTCCTGGCTCCGCGCCCACACCACGTGCCCCGTCTGCCGCTCCGACCTCGACGCCGCGCCCGCGCCGGCGCCTCGCCACGAGGACCCCGCCGCCGTTGCCGTCGACGTGGAATGCGACCGGAGGGGCGGCGCCGGCTGACCGGTGAACGACCGCCGCCGTGCTGGATGACATGCAGGATTTCCTTTAATTTTGTTCGCGCCAAAATTGATTTTGATTTGTTTTGTTTTGTTTGTGGCTGCCTGCATTACCGTGTAAATACTCAACGACTTGTATCGTCCTTGTGCATTGTACTGTCAGTATTTCCAAATTGTTGGAAATGATAATGTAGAGTATTCCAGGTAGAATTATGAGCTAGTCACCACAGCTTCAGCTAGCTGTTTAATTCAATTGCAAGTCTGCAATACCTGTCAAGAAAATAAATCAACTGTATCAATGTATCAGTTGGAAGCTTTTGCAATGTTATTTTTAGCCACAGAAATGGGCGGTTGCCGGTTGGTACCAACAAGGGCATTCTAAAGTAAGGATGCCACTAATTTTAGAGTAATCTCTCTCGGTGCATGATTTGATACATGAGTCTATGAGAAAAATGCTAACCAGAAAGAGGAAACACAATATATATATATATATATATATATATATATATATATATATATATACAGGCATATAACAGTTTTGCTACTAATTGTCGCACACGCATACCACACAGGGCAATATACGGGTCTGCTTTACAGGATTTATGGAAGCAAGTACATAAAAGCACCATAGCACGCCTCAGGTGCTTTGATTCAAAGACACAACGACGCTGCTTATTTAATAAACAACAGCGTGTGAGAAACTGCTTGCGTATCAGCAAGGGACGGTAAATTATTTATAGAACACCTCCTCTATTCATGTTCTTTGCTTTTAAAGATCTGTAGAAGCCCATGAACCTCACAGTGAACTCTGAAATAATTAGAGTGTTTATAGTTAGTAGTTGGTAAGATCCGTTCATTCTCATAAGAAAACATAGAAGACTATTTCAGTTCAGAACTATACTGAATTGGCAGGTGAATTATTTTCTAGTACCTTCAATCTTTATAAAGCATTGGATAGTTTCGCGTTGGTCATGGCCCTCCTTGGCAAAACCTTCTATATTTATGTTTCTGATTTCCAAACCCGTGTCGCCGGATTCGCACTGCTCTTTTTGACGCGCGCAATCTTTGATCTGATTACGCCGAGAAGCAAGAAAAAGAACAAAGAATAACGGTTAGTATACAGCAATTAGATCATGAATTGAAACAACTGTTACTGAAGATGCAGTAGTCATGCTAACATGGTTCAACTCCGATGCTAGTTGATCAATGCTATTTTGGAACTCCTCATCCCTGTCCCTTTTCAGTTCAGCAACCAGATTCTGCATTTGGAAGGAGACAAACATTGGTGACAAATACTGAAAACAACGAACCCTGTTTCAGAGCATGGAAACATTAGGCAAAGTGGAGCTTACAGAGAAAATGAAGTAAGGTGACACATTATGTTCAATCAGTTTTCTGATCTTACCCCTAATGACATACAGCCTGCACAAGTCGAAGTAACAACATTTGTATGTTTTCTTTCTTGAGATTAAAGACGCTCAAATATACTGAATTATGGGGAAAAAACACATGAAAGGGATATCCTACTGTTTTGGGCTTGGTTCCTCCAAGATTTTTTTGGCTACATTGGAGATTTCCTCTTCCCATCCTGTCAAAATGGCATGGCCTTCTAGGAAGGCATAGCTGCAGTTGTGAGGGGTTATTTATCGCCTTGAGAAACCCAATTATAGTGCTTCTTAACAACAGAATGAACACAGTACCAGCAATCTACTACGGAGTAACATATTCTCAATACGAATGATACATGCACCTTGATTGAGCAGTTATATGCATTTTTTGTCAAAAGAGAACATACCAATTGCAATTGTTTCTTTAGAAAATGAAGGAGGAACATTTTTTTTTTTGGGAATACGCGAGGGGCGCATCTTTGTATTAAGAAGGAATAAAAGTATTTACAGAGCGGGCCGAAAAATAAAAAACACGAAGGGGACAAGATACAGGAGTGGGGAGGAGGAAGAAAATAAAAGCCTAATCTCCCAACGAATGTGGCGACCTTCCACCCGACATAGGAGTCACCATGGCCGGTATCGCGGCTCTAGCCAACCGCCAAAGGTCCGCTTCGCCCGTGAGGAACATAGTATGTTATAAAGACATTTCTCCAGTAACGAACCATCTACTTTAACCACAGTCAAAACGTTGTAACATCCCGATATTATATTTCAAGAAGCAGGAAAGGAGAGGAGAAGCAATGTTTGATGTTCTTTTATCTAAAAACAAGGGAGGGATATTCTTATGTGCTTACTTTGCTTTCCAAGTAGCTTCAAAAGAACGTATTGCCTGTCGGAGATTATTGCCTGAGCTCATTGTTATTCTCCTAGCAATATCACGAGGCAGATCTATGCTCTCTTGCACTGCAATGTACTCTAGGACCTTGATTATCTAAGATCAAAGACATTTTTCAGTAAACTGTCCAGCATTGCAAATGCGAAGATAAAATATCCATATAAAAAGTACCTCATCAGATGAAGGTGGCTTAAGTGTCACAACCTTGCAGAGATGCCTGACAGCCTCAAGGTTTGAAGCATCAGAACAGCAGAACATGATTTTATTGCATCCTACATACCTCCCCAGAAACCATCCAATATAATGTTGAAGATCAGATGAGAGTTTATCAGCGTCGTGGACGACGATCACTGCATATATATGAATTTTAAAGTATTACCTTGGTGTAATGGTTTGAGATCAATAAAGCTTCATTTATTATAAAAATATATATGTATATGATACACTAGTACATCAATGTAACACATATAAATACCAGAAAATAAATGAAGAACATGCAGTTGTGTCAAGAAAGATCACTGTTTCATCATTTTAACAAGGTAAAATAGTGTCCTCATGTACCTCTGCAGTTGGCATGACTGCAAATGGAGTTTGGTGATGGGATGGATTCATTCAACAAAGTAGTAATGACATGCTTCTCATAGCCGTGTATGTCAGCCAAATTTACCTCCACATGATGACTTGAAATCTTCACTCTGATATCAATGTGTTTTGCAATTTCTCCCTACAGTGCGAGAATGGTCAGTAGTGTTTCATTTTACACTTTCCTCTGAAGGAGTAGTAGAGATTTGTAATGGCGACAATGTGCAAAAGAATAACAAGTCATTCTCATGCAACGCGTACCTTCAGCTCGAATCTCTTTGTCTGTTCCTCTATCTGTGAAACGGCAATATGAAGCAAGAACAATTGTGAGCTTAAAGGTTTAGATAATTAGGTTGGTTAAACCTTGTGCAAAAGTGAGTAGCATCAACCTTGAGATTATCAGTAGCAAAAGCATCCCATATGAGTGCCGACACCATGCTCCTCTTTCCGACGGAGGTCGGGCCTTCAAATATGATATGGTTGCATTCTTGTGCGGTAACCTGGGGGGTAAACCCCTTATCAGAATGTCAAGACGGTAGTAGTATCACTCAATGTAGTGAAATATTTGACTGTAAATGGGTAGTAAGGAGTGTGTGTGATGACCATCACCTGGTTGTAGAGCTCAAGGGCAGCGTCCTTGTTGCAGATGAAATCGTTGAGGAAATTGGGGCGATACTTGTCTGCCCAGATGTACTTGTCCTCTGCCGTGGGTGTGGATTCTTCAGAAGTCTGTGGCGAATCCACCATGGCGACCGATTTGGGCAAAACCCGGACCCAGATGCTCCCTCCTCTCCCGACGGCGACGGCGGAGGCGCTGTGGTCGGAGCTCTGCGTGCTGTGGTCGCCGGCGGACACTTGTGGCTCAGAAGCAGCTTCAGCTTTGGATTCAGCCGGCGTGTGGTGGTCGTGGATGCGTTTGGCGGCGGCGGCGGCGGCGGCGGCGGCTTCCTCTCTCTCCCTCAAAGGCCTCCTCTCGGCGACGGCGGCATTGGCTACCTGCGGCTGGGGCGCCTCCCGGCGCGGCGGCGGTTGGTGGGGCACGGAGCTAGGGGCGGTGCGGGGGCGGGTGAGGGGGGCGCCGCTTCTGGGGATGCAAGCGAAGCCCAAGCGGTGGAGACCGAGCACGAGCTGCGACGGCGGCAGGAAGGTACGGTAGCGTCGGGCGTCGCGGCGGCGGTCATGGTCGAGCGCGTCGGAGAGGGTGGTGGCCGGGGGAGCCATGTGGGCGGCGCGCAGGGTAGTGGCAGTGGCAGCGGCATGGGACTGGGGGTGGACATGAGATGAGAGCGGAGATGAAACCAATGCGGCGCGGCGGTGTGGACGAGGGGAGCGAGAGGAAGGAGGTAGGCGTGGCGATCAACGCGGCAGCGGCCGGCCAGGTGGTGAGGTGGCGGTGGCGGTGGCGGTGGCGGTGGATGGTGACCGGAGAAGCATTTTTTGCCGGGATCATTCCCATCCTGCCTCCTCTCCTGGCGCCGGCAACGCCTACCATCGCCATCTGATCTCGGCCCAAGCTCTCCATTTCCATCCTATTGGCCCACTTCGTTATTTGGGCCGCCTCTGGTTGCATATTCAGAGAGGATTTAGGCCGGCCTTCTTTCGCTGTTACTTCCACTAGTTATTTAATTATTTTTTAGAGAAGTTATTTTATTTTATTTTATTTAGAGGAGTTTCTTAATTTTATTTTTTTAGAAGAGCCTTTTAAATAAGGAACTTCCCTGTAACCTTCGCATTACTTCCACTATTATTCTACTGAGTTGCTTGATAGACCGTTTGGTAAGGAATAAGTTTATGTCTCTCGCTCTTGATTGAGTCACATCCCTCAATCATAAAACTAGGTATAATGTCGCCTCTAATATTAAAAAACCAGTGTAGATAAACTATTTCAGAGGTTTAGAAAGTGTTTTTTCGCTGACGTGGCAGGTTGACCACAATTGACTTGCTGAGTCAAAAGGAGGGACCCACATGTCATTGATTGTTCTCTCTTTGAGAGGGCTAATGTCGCAAAGGGGATCCATGACTAACGAGTAGTGACGTGACCGGGGAGGAGTTCCGCGATGGGCGGCGACGAAGATGGGTGTTGTGACTGGCAGCGAAGACTGCAGCAGCTCGCGTGAACTAGGGGATGACAACCCATAGCGGAGGACGATAGGCGATAAAACAGCGAGACCCGAAGGTAGAAGGGCGGCAGTGCAACAATGACGGGGTAGCACACACATCTCTCGCTCCGACGTGACCCTCTGCCGCCGCCACCAGTCTCTACGAATGCCATCCTATCAGGTAGCTCTATTACCCTCTTTCTTTTTCCTATGGAGATGGCGGTGTCCCACCCTGTCCCAGCTTGATGGCCTACCTCCCCCTGTGGGGCCTCCGATGCCGCCATCGATGCTGGAAGGAAGCCACGTGGAAGGAAGTGGCATGGAGGTGGAGTTCCAGGCTCAAGGTGAGAGGACAACAGCCACCGCTACCATGAGCACCACTATGCGCGTGCTCCTTGAACGGACGATGACAGTAACTCAATCTGCCCCCGACGATGTTGGCCACCTCGGTGTCGCCAAGCTCCTACCACCGCATGGGGTCTCTACATGCTCCACCTAGCTTCTCTGCTTCCATCACCCTCGGGGAGACGACCCCCTCCCCATCGGCCGCCTCCACCCGTGAGCTCCCCTTTCCACTAAAGGAATCAATGCCGATTTTTAAAGTTGTTTGGAGAGGGTATTATACATGTTTTTTTGTTGAGGAAGGCTATTCAGGAAGTAGCAATATACGAGAAAGACAAACAAGAGGTTGTGTTCGGGCACGCATGTATTATTGCAAGATTAATTAAGTATTAACTATTTTTTTGAAAAATGGTTTAATATGATTTTTTAAAACAACATTCATATAGAATATTTTTTAAAAAAAACACACCGTTTAGCAGTTTAAAAAACGTGCGCATGAAAAACGAGAGATGTGAGTTGAGAAAACTGGGATAAGAACTCAGCCTAAACCGTTTGGCAATGACCGGAAAATTTGAAGTTGGGCGATGATTTTACAGGCCGATTAACCGAGGGCAGTAGTTCCCTCAGCAGTGTCCGGCCTTGGACTTGTGCCGCACGCACACTTCCATTTCCATTTGGAAAAAGTACACCGAAGGTCCCTCAACTTGTAATCGGGATAAAAAACATCCTCGAAGTGCAAAACCAGATATACGAGGTCTCTTAACTATACAAAACCTTAACTATACAAAACCAGTCACTCGAAGTTCTTCGATGGTTTTGACCCCGGTTTTAGTCTACGTGGCGGCTGAGTCAGCGTAGAACCTACGGGCCCTACATGTCAGGTGTCCACCTCACCCTATCTCTTTCCCCTTTTCTCTTTCTCTGTTCATCTCTCTCTCTAGCGGATGGGAGCGGCGGTAGCGGCAGACTTGGCGAGCGCGCGGCGGTCGGCGGGAGAGCGCGCGGCGGCCAGTACGCGGTGGTGGAAGCCCCCTAGCGTTGCGGAGGCGGGCTGCACCGACACGGCGGCGGGAGCACGAGGCGACGCGGCGGCAGGCGGTTGTGGACGAGCGACGATTGCGCGGTGGCCTCCTGCGCCCACGCGCCACCGACGTTGGGTGACCCGTCGTGGAGTGGAGCACGACATCGAACGCGGTAGAACTTCTTGGCGAGGTGGTAGAACTTGTCCTGTCGCTGCTTCCCCTTCATCTTCCCCATTGCTGCCTCCTCCTCCGCCGCCGCCGCCGACAAGCCGCCTCAGCTGGGAGGGAGAGAGCTAGGGTCGGCGGCCGCGTCGCCTCGTGCTCCAGCCGCCGCCGCGTCGCCTCGTGCTCCCGCCGCCTCAGCTGGGAGGGAGAGAGCTAGGGTCGGCGGCCGCGTCACCTTGTGCTCCCGTCGCCGCCGCCGCGTCGCCTCGCCTTGTGCTCCTGCCGCCGCCGTGTCGCCGGCCGCGGCCGCGTCGCCTCGTGCTCCCGACGCCGCCGCTGCCGCCGCCGCATCGCCTCGCCTCGTGCTCCTGCCGCCGTCGTGTCGCCGGCCGCGGCTGCGTCGCCTCGTGCTCCCGCCGCCGCGCCCTGGCGACCTCCTCCCCACGACCCCACCTGCCCTGGCTTTGCCCGCGACTAGAGAAGTGAGAGAGAGAAAAGGGAGAGAAGAGGGAAAAGAGAGAGTGGCTGACCTGGACAGGCTGACAGGTGGAGCCCACGCAGGTCCCACGCGGACTCAGAAGCTACGTAGTACAAAACCGGAGTCGAAACCATCTAAGGACCTCGGGTCACCGGTTTTATACCGTTAAGGGACCTCGCGTATCTGGTTTTGTGGTTCGAGGACATTTTTTATCCCGATAACAAGTCGAGGGACCTTCGGTGTCCTTTTTCCTTTCCATTTTGGAAATCTGATATCGATGAGAGTTGGACGACCTCAGCAGCAACCAATTATCTGCTACAGCATGCAGGACCTTTGACTTGGACTGCCTCCCTACTCCTACTCCTACTCCTACTCCTACTCCTAGTCAAGTCAAGGGTAAGCTCCAAGAAATCTTCTACTTCTACTTCTACTCCTACTGATGAATGTATTGGCCGGTATATACATGCTTCCTCATGTATCACACTGGTGGAGAAACCCTTTGTACTCCCGGTTCGTAACCCCCTTTAGTCCCGGCTATCTTTAGTCCCTGGTGAAATAACCGGGACTAAAGAGAGGTATCTTTAGTCCCGGTTGGTGAACCGGGATTAAAGATCGATCTTTAGTCCCGGTTGGTAACTGTTACCAACCGAAACTAAAGAGAGGGTAGCGGCAGTCCCATTAGGTCTCCTTTTCTTTTTTTTTATTATTTTTTAGCCAGAGTTTAATCCCTATATTTTCTCCCAAATCGAGTGGGATGCATATTCCCAAATCAAACCCCAAATCAAAGTAACATCCCAAAACATTCACATCACAAATCTTAAGTTACTTGTACACACAAATCAAATACATCACAAATCTTTAAAAAATTACACACAAACCAAATACATCACATATTATACATCTCAGATCCATACAACAAATCACAAAATTATACATCTCAGTGAATCACAAATTGTAAAAAAAAAGAAAAAAAAAGAATGGATGCCGGAAGCGCCGCCTGCCGCCGCTCCCCGTGCGCGGCCTGCGTGCGGCCCCGCCGGCCGCCTACCGCGTGTGGCCCCGCCGGGCGCGGCCCCGCCTGACGCGTGCGAGAAGGGAGGAGGGGGAGGAGGCGGCCCTCGCTGGGCATCGGATGCGAAGGGAGGAGGGGGAGGAGAGGGCCGGGATGGGAGGCGGAAGGGGAGGAGAAGGAGATGGATCTGAGGAGAGGAGAGGCCGGTTGTTGTTGAGGAGATTGAGGCCGATTGTGGGGAGGAGGATAGGGAATATGGATTATATACTACGCGTGATTTTAGTTCCGGTTTGTAATACCAACCGGGAGTAAAGATCTAGGATATCTTTAGTCCCGTTTAGTAATACCAACCGGAACTAAAGTGGTGATCTTTAGTCCCGGTTTGTGACACCAATTGGGACTAAAGAGAATTGACAGAGGATGAACCGGTACTAAAGATCATCTTTAGTCTGGTTGGTGTTACCAACCAGGACTAAAGATCGTAGAATGGCTATGGGGTTTTAAACCAGGACTAAACCGGGACTATTATGGTTTTGGGGCGACTGAGTAAAGATCAGTTTTCGAGTAGTGTCAGGTAAGGGCCGGAGAATGCATCATGATTGATGATGATCGATCGGCTGGCAGCGCTTATATAGTACTATAAGTATACTATCTCGCAATCAAGGATGATACCATATCTCCGGCTAATTAATCAATGAATGAGGGAAAGCCATGGTATATCTATATCATACCGACCAAATGATCATATGTGCCTGCCTGTCCTGATTTAATTATATATGACAACATTATCAAGCTCATGCATTCGGTCGGTAGATAGGTTGGCATGTACTAACTACTGTAGTCTGTACAAATTTTCGCACTCGACCGTGCGCTTGCTTAGAGTAGCAATTAGCAGGAACATTACAGTACTTATTAAGCTCGCTTGGTGCTCCTCCTCCTCCTCTTCCTTCTAGAAACTTCTTCCACGCACACGATATCACGTCAACATCGCACCCGCCCGCTCACGCACCGCATGACGTCACCGACGGCTTTGGTGGCCCACGAGCGCGTGGGGAATACGCTGCCCACCCTTCCCCCTCCGATCCCAATCCAACGGACATCTTCTTTCGCGGGAGGATTAATGTTCATTTATTGATGGATTTTTTTTCTTTCTTTAAAACAATTAATTATTTATTGATGATTTGTAAAACGGGTCAAGAAAAGAAGGCGGCGGCGGCGGCGGAGGAGAGAGAGGGCCCCACCAATACCCAGTAGCCGCCGAGCCAGGCAACGGAGGCCAATGGGAGCTTAACACGTGGCCCATCTGCGGGCCACAGCAATGACTTGATCGACTGTTATTTGCTCTTGACATTCCACTACACTACCAGCTTCTTCTTCTTGTGCCTTTTGGACCTTCTCTTCAAACAGCAGAGCACACTAGCTGACCAACCCTACAATATACTCGTACTAATAATAGAGGGTTTTTCTCTCCTAATTTCATCACAACTCGTTTGCTCCAGGCTGAGATAATCCTCATCTCAAGGAAAATCCCTTTCTACAAATACAGATACAAGTCACTGAAACAGTGTTATAGTATGGCTTTATAGATGTTGAGACCAGGTTTTATTCCATCGTTTTTTTTTAGAAAAAAAGAAGACTATTAGATGGCTTAGTTCTCTGAAACATACTGTACTCCAGTACTGAAGAACATTGAGCCCCAGGACAAGCAATAGCCTTCCAAATGAATTTCCATTTGGAACAATCCATGTACTGTAGCAGTCTAGCAGATACTACAAGAAGAGGTTTTGGTTGCCCATCCCAGAATGCTGCCAATGCAAAGCCTTCAGAAATTTCCATCTCTATTCTCCAATCCACATATGTGATATGTCTTATACTTTCCATCCATCCATGTATGTATGTCGACATCCACCACTCTCCATTGGAAAGGCAAGGCCCTCAGCTACCTCCAATTGTTGCTCATCTTTTCCATCACCCCCCTCAACTTTCTCAATGTTTTCTTCAGTATTCCCTCAGGAAAGAGAGATTCTTCATGCAAAGCTATGAACATTATTTCTGATTATATGTAATCTGTAGACAGCAGAGAGACTACTCTACTGCTCCTAAAGAATGCTGCATTTTCTTTAGATGCCTTTCTAATGCTGCATATATTTTTTTTGGGTAGTAGATGCCTTCCTTTGTTCTTGCATTTAGAACCGCTTCCTCTGCTTTAGTTAGGCGTAGTAGGTTAGGGTGGTTGCCTAACATACATATGCCGTCTCCTCTTCTTCATCTTCTCATTCTTCTTCAGTGTCAACTTCATCAATGCTGGCATTGACCCTGCAAATCAGAACTATGGAGTATATATATATCACAACTCTTTAGTTTAATAAATTCAACCGGGAGGATAATTAGATGAAACAAGAGAGCAGGAGCAGGATTTGCTTTGATAAGGCTGAACATCACATTCACATTCACATTGAAAGCAAACTTTTAGCGAGTTTGGCAATAACGTAACGGCACTTGCTTTGGCAGCATCAGAAATTCTGAGTCAAGACACATGATACTGCAAAAAACTATCCTCTGCAATTGCCTCGCAGCTAAGGGTCAACACACTGAGAAAAAAACACACATCAAAATCCATTTCTGATCCACAAGACCACATTATAATTAAGAAAAAAAGGAAGTTACTGGAGTAATAAGCAAGGATCATTCATGCCCTCTTCTAGCATCCATATTTACAGATGAACTGAACAAAGTAGCACTAATCCTGGTACCACCAGTTAGTAGCAGCCATCACAAAACTTAAGCACCACCAGCTACTTATTATCATCACTGCTAATCCACTAGGAGTATTAGCTACAAGTCTGCTCAAAGACATCTAAAATTTGAAACATCTCAAAATGAAAAAAAAAAGACTATATAGAAGGTTGAACACAAGAGAGAGAGGGAGGGGGTGGTCACTAATTAAAGATGTATACATATCCTGTCTGTATTTTTAATGTGTTCCTAGTAATGGTAATGGAGCAATTAGCAATGGAAAAGCTAGTGCTTTTGTACCCTTCCTTTTCTTCATCTTCCTCCTTTCCTTTGTGCAAAGCTAATGGCATCCACCTCGAGAAGCACCACCAAAAGGCAACAATGGTAATGGCAATGGGCAAAGGCCGACGAGGTGGCGGCCGCTTTGCAATGCGATTCCCAATTGCGCACGCGCTGGATTCCTGCAGGTGAAGTTGCTGTTGGTTGGCAATGGCTAGTACTCGACGATGAGGCTGCCGAATGGCGCGCGGTGTGGAATGCCCTTGCGGCGCTTGGGCGGCAGGGTGGGCGGCGGCGGCGGGGTGGACGGCGTGAAGCTCCTCTTGGCAGGGGAGGTGGAGTTGTCGGAGTCGGAGGTGGAGGCCATGGCGTGGGCGTGGCGTAGTCTCTTCCTCCTGGCGGCGGTGGCGGTGGCGGTGGCGGCGGCGGTGGCGGCGTGGGGGGAGCAGCCGACGACCTTGCAGCCGAGGGAGCAGAAGCGGAAGTTGTCGAGGAGGCTGCGGCTGCAGACCTCGCAGATGTTGGCGACGGCGCCCTTGCCGGCCTTGTGCTGGGGGCGCTCGTTGAGGAACACCACGCGGGCGCTGTTGATGACGTACGTCTGCACCCCGCCGATGTCCATGAACCTCTGGATGTCCGACACCCTGATCACGTCGTGGTACGACGACCGCCGGATCTGCAACCACAACGCCGCCACCGCCATGGTTAGGTAGGTTTGGTTTGGGAGAGGGAGACTGCAATGCATTGGGAACAAGGAAATGGTTAGTACCTGGATGGTGTGGTGGTCGCGGTGGTTGTGGGCGAGGCAGAGGGAGCAGAGCGCGGCGGCGGCGGCGTCGGCGTCGGCGGCGCAGTCGAGGCAGAACATGTTGCACTCGCCGCTCCGGTGCGAGTCGGCGTGCACCTTGCACTGCGAGAAGAAGCTGGCCGAGAGCAGCGGGCTCAGCCACCGCGGCCACTGCTCTCCGTGCGCCACCGCCTCCTCCTCCTCCGGCTCAGGCCCTCCTCCTCCCTGCAAGTTTCAATAAACCAACGCATCCGTCAGTTTCCTTTCCTAAACTACAACTCGATATTAGATTGGATGAAAAGAGGCAGTTTTGACCAAGATAATCCCCTCTCCTTTGAACGATTCATGCACGCAATTCACAGCGCGTTTCTTGATTCTTGGAAATCACGGAGAAGCGATTTTTTTTTAAAAAAAAACCCACGGATTTGGCGGCGAAAGGAATGCGGGGATTCCAACGCACAGAGGGAAGCAGCAAAAGCAAGAACCCAAGAAGAAGAAGAATCCTTTAATCAATCTGGCGCCATTGCCCATAGAAATCGGCCGCCCAATACAACAGTAACCGAAACAACAACGAAGGGGAATAAACTCCAGAAGCATCTCATTCCTTCATTCATTCATGTAGTACTACACAAGAAACAAGGAGTAATCGAAAAAGAAGAAGAGAACGGAATGGCGCAGCATATAAACATACCATGATCCTCCTGTTCTTGAGGCGGAGCTCCTTGAACGGCGACTCGTGGTCGATGGCCATCGATCGATCAATCAATCAATCAGTCCTCTCCTCTCCGAATGCAACTAGGCAAAGGGTAGGAAGAAGAAGAAGAGAGAGCGGAGGCGGCGGTGGATGGATGGAATGGCAGAAGAAGAAGCAAAAGGAATGAATAAAAACAGAAGAGGAGGAGGAGGGGTGGGTGGACTCGCGGCTTTTATCGACGAGACGAGAAGGCGAAGGCGGCTTGGGCTCGGTGGAAACAAGAAGAAGAAGCGGATGAGTCGTCGTCGTCTTTGTAGGAGTCGTCCAACTCCTTCCTTCTTTCCTATCCCCCTCGACACGCCCAAGTAATTTCTTTTTTCTTTCCTTTCCTTTTTTTGCCTTTTTTTTTCATCCTCCTTAAATAAACCACTTGTCAGTGACAGTAATAATATTTACTAGTAAATTTATGCGATTTGTGGCTCTTTCCTCTATCTGAGTAATCAATGGGCATGGGTTGTTGTTGATTAGCACTAATAGGGTTGTTTGGTAGGGCACAAAATTTTAAATTTTACTTTAAAAGTTAGATATGAAATAAAGTTGTGAAGCTATCTAAATCCAGTTTTACCTTATTTGTTTATTTTATAAGAGCACTTCAATCAGTTTAATTTTTTTTTTTTGAAGCTGAAGCCCTTTTTTTATGAAGCTGAAACTATTTGGTTGTGTTTCAGCTCTAAAAGAGATGAAGCTAGAGTTGAACCAATGCCCTTTCTATTAGGTTATTACTGCTTAATTTAATTTATTTTTGATGTGACCTTAATCTCTTGTGATGGTTTGTTTTGGAGAACACAAGGGGAAAGTGGATGCCGAAATGGCCAAAAGCGGGATGGAGGGAGGGCATTTGCGCGTGCGTGCCGACCAGACGAGACACCGGACGCGCTACAGTACACTACTTGTCCACGCACGTGTTGCTCTCTCGCTATTCCAGATTGAACACCCTATTGGGTACTACTAGATTATTAGGGTGGATTATCGATTTAATTATTAAAACAGATTAGATATTTTAACTAAATAAACACTGCTCAAAATGAGTGGTCTAAATAAAACTACAACAGGAATATTACTTAACATATATTTTTTTTACTAAATCTTAACATATTTTTAACATATTTTTTAAGTGTGAAACAAACAATCCATTTTAATAATTCAGTGAATAAGCTGAAAAGAACAATGCCCTGGAATCAGTTTCAATAACCCAGTAAATCCGTTTCATGAGGAACTTCAGATGAAACTTCTCCTTAAAAAAACTTAAATGAAACCGCCTTTTCTTTGTGCAGTTGTATTGCTCCTTGTTGCTACTTGGCCTCGTCTGACTGACCCGTCATCCCGCCCAATTTTTCTTTGTAAACAAATCCATCCAGCAAAATGATCAATGGCTTACAAGTGGCACACTAATCAATCAACCATGATGCACCTGTTCTCTTCATTTCCAACCGTTGTTAATTTATCTGCTTAATCAATTATGCCACTTAATGGAGTACAGCAGTTCGTCGCTTTGTTTGTTACTGATGCTTGGTTTGCATTGCAATTGCGGACAGGCGCACCAGCACCACAAATACAAAAAGAATTCCCCAGAGTATCCAAATATCCAATCCACTGCTACTATTTTTCCTCTCTTTGCCTAATTGCCTTGTTCGATTCTTTCAACATACTATGATCTTATATTATTCTTATCTGTGAGGAGCCAGCAGATAGATAGATAGATAGATAGATGGACTAGTCGTTGTACTGGTGCCAATTCCAGTCCTACCACCAATAATGCTGCCGGTCTACAAATGCAAATGCATTCTACAAACTACTCCAAATGCAAACATTATGCCATTCTTTTCACACCTTTTTGTTCTTGTTCCCCTTTGAAAAACTGCAAAGTTTTTGTTTGCACTCTCCTCTGTCAGTCTGTATCCAACTCAAGTTCTTCTTGCACTCTTTGCTTGCCATGGAAGAAAACAAAGTTCAAGACAGCAAAATAATGAGAGAATTTTGAAAGGTCAGTGAAAGGAGGATTTGAATTTCGAAAAGATTCTGTGGCTACCCACTCAATCAAAGGGGCATGCTTTGCCGGTGCACGGGGACCGTCGGATTCTCCATCTGCGGCCGTGCTTTCAGATGCTGCTCTTTCTTCACATGCCATTGATTCCTCCTCTCTAGTATCTCTCACTCTCTGTCTCTGTCTCCTGCTTCTTCAAGTGTTGATGATTAGTTAAAGCAAGCAAGCAGGCAGGCAGTGGAGCCCTTGACCTTAAAGAGATACTCATCATCAGATGTTAATCTAATAGTACTAGTATAATCTAATCTTTATAATACTTATATCTAGTTTAGTACTACTACATGAATGCAATGCAGATGCAGGAGGGAACCCAGGAATGCAGGGGAGGCACATGTGCTTGATGGATTGGATGGCTGCTATCTGCAACTTGCAAGAACTTCCTCTCACTAATCTCTCTCTCTTTCTTTCTTAGTAGTACAGTACTTGTCATCTGCAATGCAAGCCATCTAATCTACTCCTAACTGCCCACTTAGCCTGCACTGCATCCCTGTCTGCTGCTGCTTGCAATGCTAGGTTAGTTGGTTAGTAGTTTGTGTGTCTTGCAAATGTCTATGCATGCTGCAACTTGCACACACCAATGACACATGCATTTTGATTTCACCACAAGGGAAGGGGAGATCGAGAGAATGATAATGCAGCAATTTACGTCAGAGAAAAGTGACTCCTCCCTCCAGGTCGGCGATGAACTTGCTGCATCTCATGGAAGCTGAAAAGGACATGAAATGGGCAGATGCATGCGTGCACTCACAAAGCTCAAACCTTTTTTTATATATAACAGAGGGAAAAAGCAAAGGGCAAAGACATGTATAATTTGTAGAGTAGTATGCAATATGGCAATGGTGCTGGACTGCTGGTGTCGCTGCCACTTGCAACGAGTAGCTGAAAGGAAGATACGCCATTGCCATTTCCCATTAGCCATCGCCAACATTGGATGTGAACTAGCCCCCAATTTGCCACGAGTAAAATGGTGCCTTTCTTATCTCTAGTTGGTATCTTGTGTGGACCTGAACCTGTTTCGCACTCGCCGTTGTCCTTGTCATGTACTACTAGTCTTCAGCCTGCATTCTGAAGCCAGATAAACTGAACTAGCTCTCAATGTTCAGACATATTTCAGCTATTTCACCGGATTATTTGCACCACGCCTCTTAAAATACGTTTTTCTCAAAAAAAAAAAACTTTCTTCTACAGCATTATTTGTTCTAAGCTAGTATTTGTTAAGTTTATTTCTCAAAATGTATAATTTAGAGAACTTTTATCCCATAATCAAGTAGATAATCCGGTGAATAATGTGTTTCAAATGGGCCCTTAGATTTTAAAACAACTGAAATTCTAGCTCATTCAGAACAGAGGATAAAAAGGTTGTATCACTCACTGCTCCTTCACATGCTAGGAAATGGGTGAACTAGTCTCCTCAGGTGTAATTGCATTTCGTTTTCTGAAGACTAGACTACTGGGTCCAAGTCCAAACCGGCGAAACATATAATACTTTTCACGTGTGTGGTTTCACCTCAGACAAATCCAATCCAATCCACAGAAAATGGTGGATTCCTTGTCTCCGTTCCCCACAATGGGATGATCACAAGTTGGAGCACTTCTTTCTTTTTTTCCAAGTTTCACAAAAAAGAAAGCCTTTGGATTTTTGAAGTTAATTTAATCGGTTCTAACCGACTTCTAACATTGTGATGATGGTAGCCACTGGAGGCTCTCTCTGAAAGCAACAGGGAACAAAAGCTGTGCAAGAGAAATATCGACACAGGCTGAAAAGGACAACCCCCAACACTGTCATGGATGTTGCCGTGTGACAATGGGCAATCAAATTGATTAATTAAGAACATTTCCTTCCCTAAATCAGTTAGTTAGTGTTCCATGGCTTTGGTTTGGATGATGAATTAGTCGTCATCAACTCATCATCGAAGCAGGAATCAAAACAGGAGAGAAGAAGATGAAAGTTTCGGCTTTGTTGTTGACACAGACAATTCAACTGAATGCTCACGGAAAATTCATGCTGGGAGTACAATGATGAATCATCGCCACAAGAGTTTTGTCAATTCTGAATTAACTGGAGATGCAGATGTTAGTTGTATCAATGATAGATAGATTGCTAGGACGGCACATTACAGAAAGAAAAGTACTCCTAGTAGAAAAGAAAACAACGGCCAATTCCATGCCAATCCAATGCTTGATATATTGATGAATGCAAACTGCTTTGCTGATTCTCATTTCCTGCAATGCCAGCCCAAGTAGCAGTACATTATTACAGTTAGATATCTGTTCACATATTGATTGAATGGTGATCCATTCACATCAAAACTCTCCCAGCTGCATTGCCGTACGATGCTGGGAACCATGATTAAGTTGTGCGTGTTAGCCTCCTCCTTGCAATTAGCTAAGTATTAATTAACTAGGCAAGTAGTTTCCTGTGGTGTCTGAATAATTCCTGTGCCTTTCAAATTCAGGCAGCAAGGCAGAGAGAGGGACAAGAATATATTTGTGTGTGTTGATGGATGGAGATTGGAGAGGAGGAGGAGGATAAGGAGGAAGAAGGGTATATGAAAAAGCAGGGAATCATTGGTGGCCGTCCGTTGGTTGGGCTGTCCAAATGTGCTGACAGCCACGCCGATAGATGGAATGGATGCCATCCTCCTCCCTCTTTACCTAATCAAATTTAAGCATCTGTTTCAAAGGAACCATTAAATTTTAAGCAAGTGGAGGTAGCTCTCGGATTGGCCAATGGCAGCCAAAGTAACGAAACAATCAGGCAGGAAATGCCTGATGCCGTTCTGTTGCTGGGGGAATCAGAATTCAGTTAAATTTCAAGCTAGTAGCTCACCTCTTTAATTTCAAAGTGAAATTTTCACTCTGAACTAGAAGTAGTATCCTTTTTGCAAGCAATGCATCAGTGCACCGATGAGTGTTTACTGTGTCTGTGCGTGTGTTGGACGTTGATGCGACAAGGATTAACCGCACACACTGTCACTGATTCCGAGTAATCATGTTAGGACAAAATATCCACACGCTGCCGACGACCGAGGGCTGGTCAAATGGAAGACTTTTGATTCTTCTCTTTTCCCAGAAGATGGAGCTAAACTTCTGCTAGTGTTCAAAGCCTGGAGAGATACACACATTCAGATCAGATGCCTCTTTTTTCTCTACTTTGCTCAGGTCGTCGTTGCCGGTCGTCGAAAGCAACCTAGTACAAACTACAGATAGTAGGAGTACTATTCACAAGTTTGGGGCTTTTTTTAGAAGTACGAAGTAGTTTGTGCATTTGTAGCATGATGATGATGATGATGCTGGCTCATCGCTATGATTACATGCACATTCATAGACCATCCTGTCTGTATTCTGCACCGAACGATAGA